TTAAGAGATAAATCTCTCTAGAAAGATCCATACAAATATCTTATATCTTTAAATGAGCAATTCTTGTATATATATAATTGGAATCTCGGAATCGGCTCCAACGATTTTCATAAAATTTAGTATATAGGGGGTTTCGGAGGCGAAGAAAATGTCATTTTATTCGTGTTTTATCGATAATCAACTTAAACATAAACATAACTTTTTCTATCGGTAAGATCGAAAAATATTATTCATATTTCATCATTTTATTAGTAATTCGTACTTAAATATAACGTACAAAAACACAATTAAAAAAAAATAACGAGCAAAATTCGGTCATCAAGACTTTAATAATTAATTCACCGTTTCAGAGACCAAAATATCTTTATTCATATTATTATCTATTTTTGTCAAAGATAATGATAGGGATGACGATATGTTCTATACAAAGATTTTGGCTTCAACAGCCGACGGTAAGTCAGCTTAATATATGAAATACTAGCTGTCGCTCGACTCCATCCGCGCGTAATTAAAAAAATCTTAATAAGCCTATATGTTATTCCAGACTATGTTCTACATGTGTGCCAAATTTCATCAGAATTCGTTTAACCGTCCCGGAGATACCTTCAAACAAATATCCATCTAAACTTTCCCATTGATAATATTAGTAAGATATATATTTTAAATTGTCCAACATTGAGCCGTTCTAGAGATAGCTTCAAACATCCATCTAAAAACTCACATTAATATTAGTAAGGTTACTAAAATATAATACCAAACAAACATCTTGTTTTTGATTTATTTTCTTTTTTTTACTATGCTCATATCAAGGCAGTTTATTCGTAAATTGTACGTCATACGTTCAACCTTTGATTGTTATGCTCAACAAAACACGCGTGGAGTCATGTTACATGTTTCAAAGTAAACGTAAACTGAGGCTTCCATTAACGGATTTTAACAAAGCAAATTAATCGTTTATTTATTTTTAATTAAATTTAAAATAAAAATTGAAACGGCTTAAAATGTCATAATACTAGCCAGTACGATTTTGGAAATCATCATCAGCTATACATCCCCACTGACTACCAAACTACCTTAAGTTAGAGGTGAAGAGGCAAGTCAACCACGCTGGCTGAGTGCGGGTTGACTTCACACATATCTTTGAATTATTTCTCAGATATGTATCAGCATCACGATGTATTCCTTGGCCATAAGAATGTCAAATAAATGTACATATGTAAATCGGAAATCAGAAACACATTGGTACACTGCGGGATCCGAACCCAAGACCTGCAGATTGCAAGTCAAGTACTAAAACCGCAACCGATGCTTTAGAAAATATTCAGCTTAATTAATAATTTAATTTATTAATATTACATCAAATTACATTGATTTGGTTAAAATGTTCTAGATGTTCATTTGTTTAAGAATGATTCGTTCCAATAATTCTTTTAATTAACCGCTATCTATATAATTATCTACAGTTGAATCAAACTAATTAAATCAGATTATATAGCGATGCATCCAGTGTGTGAGTAACGAATCGATAGCTCGGCTTGTATTTTGGCACGTTCGCACTTTCTGGCGGTCAGCGCTTCTCAAACTGATCGTATTGATTATATTTGATAATATCATATATATATTATTCATGTAATTAAAATTTTTGCATTGAATATTCTAAAAATGACCGGTCGTGATGTTGGCGGACTCCTGTCTGTATGTTCCAAACATTATCGAACTTAGGAGACGGAGACGGCATAGTGCTAAAGGCCTTATAAAAATTGAAAATGTTTTCCTTTTACTGACTTTTACGTACTGATGCGTTGAAAAGAAAGAAAGTGCCAAAAAACAGTAATAGAAATTGCATAGTTAATACACTGTTTTGGCTATTTAGCAAAACTTAATTGTAATTGTCTTTTTTTAATTACCTAATCTAGTCATACTATAATCAATTGTTTATTTTTAATTAAAGAAAGTCATGTAGTTTAAAATGTATCATCACCAGTCGGTACTTTTCTCTACCGTCCAGTTTAGGCGTCGCTACCAGTCGTTTTGCCTGAATTCAATCCCTTCTTACACATATCCTCTTTCACATACTCCATCCATACATTCTTCCGTCTTCCTCTACATTTATAACTAACCAAATACAATCTTTGTAAATTAGATTTAAAAATTACATAAATAGCAAGTTTGATATTTAAAAGGAAATTAAAAATGTTCTACTACGATCTTACCGAGACGACGCGATATAAAAGCGTATTAAAAGAAATCGAGGTGAGGTCCGACGTCGCGACTTTTATACAAGTATTTTCAGATCACTTACATCAAACTTTTGCCGTTCCCGAAGCGTCTTACCGCTTTAAAACTTAAAAGTGGATAGAGTTTCGAATCTTAAAGCTCAAGAGTTTGGAAGATATTGAGGAAACGAACACGAAAAATTTCGCTACCAAAGCGCTCGAAGTGGTAAGAACTGTGAAATTTTGTTACGATCAAATTTCGAAAGTGGATCGTTAACTGCAATTATTACTTAAAGATCATGTTCATTTTATTAGAAGAGTTGAAATTTGTACAAGTAAAGGGTCATAAAAGTGTTAAAACTCTTAGTGGTTCAGAATTTGAAGAAAATCTATTTGTGGATATTTTTCTAATAAAGATGAGGTCAAAAGTTTGCAGTTTCAAACATTATTAGTTAGAATTCTTTGGCGTGAATGGCGCGCTTTCATTACCAAGTCAAGTGTCAGAATGATAAGTGAGGCGACATAAACATTGAAATTTTAATAAGGCTAGTGTTGCGCCAGTACACCCCCACAGTGTTGGATTTTCTTCCTAACAGTAGTAACCAATTTAGCACTACCATTGATTCGTCTATCTTCTACTTGTATGAAGTACAGCAGTGCCCCCGTCAATCTCACTAATATTATAAATGCGAATGAATAGATGGATGGATGTTTGTTTACATATATCTACGGAACGGTTGAACAGACCTCGCTGAAATTAGGCATAGATGTAGAACATAGTCTGGAGACACACAGGGTGCTTATTTGGTCCGCGCGTACGAAGTCGCGGCGCAGTATTGTTATAATGTTATATAGCTTAAAGACACATCAAATATTGAATAAAGAATGTTGCACTGGTTGTTCCTTATCAATCAATTGACTAAATCTGATTTACATTCATCGTATAAACATAGATCTATAGGAATAAGTTGGATCTATTTATCGGCTTTGGGTAAATTGTTCCGACTAAAACGGTTCCGAACAAGATTTACGCTCAAACCTCTTTGAAAGTTATTGGGGGAGTTCTATTCTTTTGTTCGCGGCTCTTATTATAGTCAGAAGTTTATCGGCCCAAGAACACTGGGCTATGTCACGACGCTTATTTTCAAGCTATTGTCTTTTGGAACGTAATGCATAATATATAACCTAACTCTTGCGGTTACAAGGGAAATTGGAAAGAGAAATGTTACACTGAAAATGTTTTGTGTTATATTTAGCATTAAAGCTTTGCTTTCAAGGTAAATAAATGCTAAATATGTGGTTTCAACACAATATTTTGAAAACTTGATAATGTAATTCATAAGGGCAGGCCTGTATAAAACATATCGTCATGCGACAGGCATATCATCTTTGATAAAAATACATAATTATATGTTTTAAACGGGGTTTTTCAAAAATCCATGATAAGTAGCAGTAGGAACAATTTTGTATAAAGTACTATGGCGCCAAAATTTACTCTGTCTTTTATATATTTTATTCTATATGTTTCAACAGCGGTCACTTTTCTAAATGGGCGAAGTTAGTCAGCTTGTTTGTCACCTTTTATTATAAAGAAATCTTTTTATTGCATTGTGATGTATAAATAAACATTACGTGTGTGAGTTTCCCCCCGGGCCGTTGGTCAAATAATTGGACCGATTGACCGTTGGTCCAACGATCCAAAGGGAAACAAACTTACGTGTTCATGAATAAATTGTTACAAGTCTAGCGGCTGGACTGTTGTATAAATTTCACTTATTACTTTTATAATTGCAGTAAATCACGAAACTACAATGACCTGGCAAATTAATGTACGGTCCAATTTATAACTCTGGGTCATTGGTGCACAAAAACTGTTCCCGTGTAAAAAGTAGGTAACTTTATTTTAATAGGTTTTCGTCGAGCATAAATTTTAATCTGCGGTATTTCAATATTGATATATGGAGCAATTATTTTAAAATTTGACAGCGTGAGAAGATTTAAAATGAAAGACCAAAGTGCGGACAAGTACGATAGAGATTTATATTACGACAATCATATTATGAACAAAATACCTACTGTGTAATAATTTTTATATTTTCGCTTTTTGGGAGGGGGGTTTTGTTTTATTCTTATTTATAGGGGTACTAGCTGTCGCTCGCGACTCCGATAAATAGAAACATAATTAGCGGTCTATGTGTTCCAGACTATGTTCTATACGTATGCCAAATTTCATCGAGTTCATCGTTCAGCTATTCAAGAGATACTTTTAAACATCCACCCATCTAAACATTCGCATTTATAATATTAGTAAGATGCATGTATGTCAATTCCATTGTAACCTTCTGTAGCTTAAATTAAACCGATTTTGACCAATGACGTGTCGTTTTATTCGTGTTTTTTCACTAAACATTAGTTTTTCTCTCTTACTAATACTATTAATGACGTTAGGATGTATGGATGGATATTTCTTAGAAGGTAACTTCAGAACAGCTGAATGGATCTTGCGGAATTATTCATAGATGTAGAATACGGTCAAAAGAACATATACGTTAGTAATTATTTTTTTTTAATTTCGCGCAGATGGAGTCGCGTGTGACAACTACTTCATAATAAGTATATTCCATTTCTTAAACAAACGAAACTAATTTCCCCATTATATGAATGTTTATTCTTGTTTTAATTTAATATTATTAATAAAATTAATCGAACAGTTTGAGAAGCACTGGTACATAACTTCATCGACGTAGTCATAACAAGACGATACAAAGTCGTCATGTTGCAGTGTTCGATGGCAGATTGACTAAATAAGAACGAACGAATTTGCGCGCCAAATAATATGGCGATATCATATTTGTGGACAATATTATTATGTGTGATTTGTGCGCAGGCGTTACATAGTTTTAAAGGTATGAGTAATTATATATTATTATTTAACTAAAACCTAACCTAAAAATGTAACGTGTATTTAAGTTTTGCTTGTTCAGAACATTTTAATATTTCTTATTATATTAGATGGATGGATGTTTGTTTGAATGTATCTTGATGAAACTTGGTACACATGTAGAACATAATCTGGTCGAATACAAAGGCTTCTAAATATTTCTTTTTAATTCCTCGCGTGTAGAGTCGCGGCCGACAGCTAGTTTAGTTATAAATTCTTTGTTAGAACTCTAATTAGTTTAATTCGATTTCGTCGTCACTTTTATGGTTTACCATTTTGATGTAACATATTTATTAAAATGGTTCCTTAATATCTCTGTCCTTGTAGAGGTCAAGGGTATCTTAGTTATTTCATTCTAAAACTAAATTATCTTATGGTTTTTTAGCAATGACAAACTCTTGTACGGTGCTTTAGCTATCGACATGCCATAATTTAAAAAAAAAGTTTAACAATAAAGAACTGTCATCAAATAATTTTGACTCTGTTCATTATTAGAATTATATTGTTTTGTAGAATTACGTTTGCTTCTCATGTAATATTTAGTTTACAGTTTTATCCTACCGAATCTTATCGTGGCTAATGCATTTTGTGGTCATCATCATCAGCTCACTGTACGTCTCCACCGTGAGGCTCGGAGCCTACCCTAAGTTAAGGGTGATTAGGCCATAGTCAACCACATGCCAAGTGCGGGTTGGTTGACTTCACACATATCTTTGAATTTCTTCTCAGATATGTGCAGCATCACGATGTTTTCCTTCACCGCAAGAATTTAATATTGTTTTGCTTAAATTAATTCAAGAGACGTATTGAAATTGACCGATGTGTGAAATAATATAATTTAAAGTTTGAGAACTCATAGTTATTATAGTTCGTATCAAAGACATGCATAGTTTGGATTGGTAGGAATAAACATAAGTTTTGAAAATATTCTATAGAAGATACCAGTAAGAAAGAAGTAACACTGTTGACGGATGAAATTGGTCAGTAGATTGATAATAAAACAAATAATAAATATATTAATTGATAAATTTAAAAGACACATATTTAAAAATGCTACTATGAATTAGACGAAATGTGTGCAGTCGAATATTTATATAATATTATATATCAAATTAAAAGAATTAACAATCGAAAAATGTGTACAGTGCACTTTTCATATCTTTATTTAAGTGTGATTCATTTGTAATTATAATACTGGCTGTCGACCGCGACCCCGTCCGCGACTCCGTCCACGCGTAATTAAAAAAAATTACGATAAGTAGCCTATGTGTTCTTCCAGACTATGTTCTTTATGTATGCCAAATTACATCGAGATCTGGAGATAACTTTAAACATAAATCCATCTAAACATTCTCATTTATAATATAGTAAAATTCTCGCTGTGTTAGACATTGTGTAATGTATCCTTCCTTAAAATTTAATATTTAAAAGCTTATACATATTTTTATTTTCTTTTTTCGAAAGCGAATCGAAACAAAGAACACGCGAAACATAAATAAAAAGAAGCAAAAATTTTGTTCCACTTTAAGTTCCTAGTTCCTAGTAACCTTATGATCCTAGATGCTAAAAGAATCATTGGAACAAATCTTTTCCTTTGATATATGTAAATCTTAACTACTCATTTCCACTTCGCTTTGTGATTTAATTTGTTTCAGGGTTTATATTTTAAATGATACACAGTACAGCTTAAAACCATTTACATATTTAAGACATTATTAATTAGAATCCTTTGGCGCGAATGACGTGCTTTCGTTACAAAGTCCAGTGTCAGAATATTGAGGGGACATAAACGTTGTTTCAGTAAGGCTAATGTTACGTCAATACACTGGCACATTTTCTAATTTTCTTCCTAAAAATATTTAAGAATAAATGAAGTAAATTTAGAAAGCTATGTTATAAACCAAAGTAAATGTACATAACATTATTATACATACGTAAAAAGTATGAAAAAAGCGGATTAAACAATTAATAAATTAATTATGTACACTTAAATTTAATAAGATTTTTGGGGGTTAATAAAAATCTTGAAATAGATGAGAGCAGCCAAGCATTTTCACTGTCGTATTTTTGAGACATACTTTCATTATTTTTCTTTATTTTAATCATAGCTCATCTGTTATTGTGGTCATGTAGTATTTAGTTCAACATTTATAGTAACATCATTGTATACAGTTAGGATCAAGAGTTGCGCCTGCGCAGTTGTCACTGTTTACAAACACTGTGCCTTCGTTTGATGAAACTAAACCGTCCTTTATAAACACAAACACAGATAATAATGTTTATTAATCTATTTAATTGTGTTCTTGATCACGTAATACATTGTTTTTGAACTCCACAATACAAAATATGTTAGGTACGAAAGGCAAGTTTATCTAATGTTAAGTGTTTGTAGGTGCTAATTGATGCTTATATAAGCTTAGGAATTGTTCTTACTCTTCCTGTATAATCTCCCTGTCCTTGTCCCGCTATGAGTAATCAATACAACAATTTTGCCTTTTAGATCAATCAATTCGTCACTCCAGTTCACTATTTTTATTTCTTCCCCGCCATATTTAATACTTGTTAATCTATCCTAGTCTATTAAATTAGCGCTAAGCTGTTTCACTTCCTTGTTGAACCAATTCAGTTCGCTTTCTATAATAAATATTTTAGTTATGCTACTAATCAAAATTATTATCTTAAAACTGACTAACCAAAAAATCCTTAGCTATCGACATTATCAGTTTGTGGCAATTCACTCCTAGAGACAGGTCTTCACTACTACCTTTTATAGTATTACCTATCGCCCACAATTCCGTCTGCGTGGAAATAAAAATAACTTTATTAATAGCGTATGTGTTATTCTAGACTATATTCTACATCCATGCTAAATTTCCTCGAGAATTTTGAAAAAAAATGAATGAGAAAGTTGAATCGTTCGCGAGATAACTTCCAACAAACATCTATAAAAACATTCGCATTTATAATATTAGTTAGATATAATAAGCTTAAATAACATAGCTATTTAAACATACTAGAACAGGTGTCTAATTTTTGAGCATTCATTAACAAAATTCTGTTCGATGAAGCATGCGAATGAAAGTAGCAATAACAACACCACGTTCCATTCGCTGTCGGAAATAGCCGTATCCGATGGATGTCTCGTGTTTACGCAAACGTAAAACTGTTTCCATTCAACTTTTACGCCATTCATTTAATCGAAATAATAATAGGTGTTCAAATAGATCGAAATGTATTTCCGATTTACATGTTCTTAGTTCTACAGCTAAACCTAATAAGGATTACTTGGTTGCAGAATTTTTGTTCCACATTATGTCACAAAGATTTTCGCCAATTTTTTTTTGATAATGCAATAAATATATCCTTGTTCGCTTTATGTATGCAATTTTTGGCAAGAAACTTTGTGAATTGCATCAGGGAACTAATTTATCTCTATGGTACCTAGTTTTGGCATCGTACCAAAATTAAAAAGTTTAAAATGACGTAGACTATAATAGTGTTACAATTAATGTGACAAGATATAAAGTGAGTTTCTTTATTGGGTAATGAAGAAAAATCATCATTAGCTCACTAAACGTCCCCACCGAAGGTCTCGAAGCTTACCCTAAGTTAAGGGTTATTAGGCCATAGTCAACCACGCTGGCCAAGTGCGGGTTGGTTGACTTCACACATATCTTTGAATTTCTTATCAGATATGTGCAGGTTGCATCACGATGTTTTCCCTCACCGTAAAAACGTCGGATAAATGTTAATCGGAAATCGAAAAACACATTGGTACATGGCAGGATTCGAACCCAGGACCTGCTGATTACAAGTCAAGTGCTTGACCCCTGAGCCACCGACGCTCTCGCTCGTTCGATGAAGAATAATAATAAGTACTTAAACTACAAACATTAATCTTGATAGTTTTTATTATGGACCAAAAGATCTAATCGTAAAATTCATCACACTATTAAATCTAGGAAAATAAATACATCAATTCTTCAACTATATTCATAAATGATGAAAGTGTTGATACTTATAAAATAATTTTCCTTTTTCAGAGCTGTATTGTCAAGATCCTGACACAAAAATGTTACATGCAGTTAACACGACGTGGGCAGCGAAATCGTTCTGTGGAAATTATACGTGCAAATTAAGAAAGAAGAATAGAACAAGTACAGAATTAATTACACCGCTTACAAAAATTAACATCACTAATATAAATATTAATTTCGTTAAAGATGACATGTCACCTAGTGCTAGTGACAAAGTTAAAACTACAGCTGAACCTCCTAAACATAGTCTGACACATTTATTGAGCAGGGAAAGAGTTATACCCAAAATAAAAGGTGATGAAGAAAAACGCAGTGATGATTCCTCAAAGGAAAATGATGGTGACCGTTATTTAACAGAAAGTGAAATTAAAACAATAACAGATATGCTACATACAGTTAAAAAGAGTGATTTAGAAGCGATTGTTGATATTTATAATTTAGCACAAGATATATATAAAGATATAGAAAAGAATCAAGAAGAAACATTGTACCAGGATACTATGACACCAATTCACGTTCACGGTTTCAATGACAATCAACAAGGGATTACTAGTGATAAGCAAAAAGTTTCATATTGGTATGAACCTTTAAATTTCCATAATAGTAAAGTGAAACCAGAAGTCAGTGTAAACGAACCGACATCAACAATAACAACAACAATGCAGACTACAACAATACAACCTACTAAAATGAAAATAGCTGAAAATAATAAGATAGCTGATAATTCATACTTCAAAGGGTCATTAACAGACAAGGACTTTAGGAAGCTACCTTATTATTACCCTATGTCGACTTTCCAAAGGGTTTCTTCGTATACCCATACTATGAAACCGAAATCTGGAATGGAACCGGTAGCTAATCCGGAAATTAAAGCATGCAAAAAACTGCCACCATTGCAACCGCCTCCGACGACCAATAATTACGTTCTCCCATCATGGATAAATAAGTCATTAAAGAAATCTTATTTTGCGGTAACACCACAAAATGTATTCGAACCATCCCTCTTATTACCCTTCCCCTTTGCATATGTGAATAATAATAACCTAACTGCATACCCTCCTAGTTACTACTACGATAACTACAATGGATATCCATGGGCACAATTAAATATTTACAATAGGAATAGAAACTTTCATCAGTCTTATTTAGGAACAGCTTACATAGCCAGAGTTCCAGGTGAATCTATGTACGTCAAACCTAATATAAATACAGATTATGAAGCACAACGAGGTACTATTACTAGAGACGACATCATAGATATCATATCTAGTTTAAAAGATAAAGAAATGAAGAAATTGCCTGACTGGCAAACGAATCCATTGCCAGAGAAAGTGATAGAAGAAGTCAAAGGGAATGCTGAGAAATCAAAGATTTTAAAGCCTTTAAGAAAGAAAGTAAGAATAGAAAGGATAGGGAAGTTAATAAAATTAGATGAATCATCAAGATCTAAGAGAAGTATTGATAATGAAGATCCTTTTGATGGAATTGATGAATATGAAACTTATATAACTACGACAACGTAAGTATTAATTTTTACTTATACTATACTAGGAAGTCATCTTTTTTTTTATAACATAAGGTGGCAAACGAGCGAGCGGCCACGTGAAATCGCTGTAATAGCGAAGTGACCGTTGCCCATAGACATACGCAATTGCATATGCTTTGCCTACCTTTAATCGACGTAGGAGAGGATGCACAGAAAGAAAATATTTTGTCTTCCCATGCATCCTCTTATCCGGAAAGTTCACTTCCACTTCCCATCCTTTCTTTATAAGAAAAAGGGTGGGAAATGAAAGAGGACTAAATTAGGCCTCCGGGACACACACTCATCAGACGAAACGCGGAATTGCTTCCACTTTACGCCTGTTTTCTGTGTGGGCGTGGTATTTCACCGGGCGAGCCGGGCTAATTCGTGCGAAGATGTTAAAGCGGGCTCTACCACTGTTAATTCATCATGTCATCATCATCAGCTCATTATACGTCCCAACTGAGGGCCCTAAGTTAGGGGTAACTAGACGATAGTCAACCACGCTGATCCAGTGCGACTTCACACATATCGATAAACGACTACTTTCGTGCATTAAAATATTTCTGCAACACTTTCTATTCTTCTCCTTTGTTACGTCTTGCAGATTTTTTATACCGTTGTTTTTTCTTGCTTACTAAAACATCTTATTTTAATATGCCTTAAATGTCTTTAGCTTCGCATATTATTTAATTGTTATTATTACTCTGATTGAAATCAGTATTTTAACCATTCTGAGCATCAATAGCCTACTTGTTAAGGGTACTAAGGGTACAGATTTCCGATCACAAGGTCGGGGCTTCGAATCCCTCCTTTCTATTGTCGTAAACCATGTCTAGCACAAGCATAGAGCTTAGTTGGAATGGTACAAGAAATGTTACTAAATTAACAAAAAAACTGCTGCTATTTAAAAAAAAATGATAAAAAGATTTTTTTTTATATAATAATTTAAAATGTTTCTTTACGTTATCTATATGTATCAATGTATTGGATTAGTTGTGTTTTTTATAAGCTGACAAACGACTGTACCCTTCTAACACCTTTGATATAAAAAGTTGACAAATTAGTTAAAAAGAATTCAAGTGTAGGAATGCATCCCTTTGTCCCCGACAGATGTCGCTTCGTATCTTTAATCATCATTTTTTGTAATTACACTTTTTGTAATTTGGAACGTATTTATCTTATGTTTTCTTACAACAAGCATTCTTTTTATAAGAATCAGAAAAAAGTAGATAAAAAATAAATAATATTATAAATGCGAATGTATGGATGGATGTTTGTTTGAAGGTATCTCCAGAACAGCTGCATAGATCTAGAAATTTGACATACATATAGAACATAGTCTGGAAGAACACATAGGCTACTATTTTTTTTTTAATTTCGCGCTGACGGAGTCGCAGGCGACAGCTAGTGATTAATAATTCAGCAATAATTCTTGTTTTATGAAGTGTTAAACGTAGAACTCTACTGCCTTGTATGCTCCTCTATTCTCCAACTATAGTTTTTAATATTACCGGTATGTTGTTTTAAAATCTAAGTTCTACCAAACAAAACAGCCACATTGCAACTTGTAACAAAACATTCTGCGCTAGTAATTTTTAGTTTTCACGAGTCCTCGTTGCTTCGTTGAAAAAGTTTTTAATTAGTGTTATTTTGGATCCTTTTTTACTGAGCTTCGTGATCTTTTGTTTTTCTCCGCGTTAACAAATTCATCTATATGTTATTTTAATTTTAAATTAATTTATTATAGAGTTTTATCTACAAAGAGTTTTAGTGTAATTTTTTAAAAGCATTTGATTCTTAGTTTTACGACGAATTCCATTCGAGTGGTACAGTTCATACTTCTAAGTTTTAGCATACTAGATGTCGCCTGCGACTACGTCCGCGCGAAATTAAAAAACAAACTTAATAAGCCTGTATGTTGTTCCAGACTACGTTCTACATCTATACCAAATTTCAGCGAGATCTGTATATCCGTTCCGTAGACAATATTTCGCATTTATAATATTAGTAAGAAGTAAAGTAATAGTCGAACGAAAGGAATAGCGATATTAATGTTACTGTCTCCAACCTTTCTTCATCTTCTATGACTTCCTTTTGTTTTGTGTGTGTCTGGCCGCCTGTAACCTACACCCCTTTATCAATTTTTAAGTGTGTGGTTTTATTCGATATGGATTCCTTTCAGGAGCGACTTGAATTGTCTATTTTCTTCATGTTATTAATAACAAATTTATTTTTTTCTCAGGTGTCAACCGAGCACAGAAATAGGATTCTTCCGTAGAGGGAACATGAGTAGATTGTTCCCGGAATGTTGCCCGGAGAGAATACAGAGCTGACCACAGATATAGACAACACGGAACGCTTATTGGACATTTTGAAATTCGAATACGTTTTTAAATTCAAATTAAAAAAAAAATATAGAACCAATTCAATTTTTAAAAATCGAACACAGAAGTTAATAATTCAATTTGTATTCTAAATTTGAAAATAGAAGCCGATAAATATTAACCAAACGTTGAAAGGTTACCATAAGCATAAATATTATAGAGTTCAAATAATTGTTTTGACATTTGTTTGAATTACGTGTACTAATAGTCGATAGAAATATAAACAAACTTTATTGTTTATTCTATTAAGTATGGAGGTTTGGAATTTAGTAGAACTTTTTGACAATAACACATACATGATCTAAGCAAAAAAAGCAATATTCGGATTAATTCAATGGTTATTTAAGTATCCCTTAGTGTGTACTAAGGGACTTCTTTAATAACGATAATTAAAAAGACTTTTTAATAAGATACGAGAGAAAATTTAGACTGTATTGTTTCTAAGGATAAAAACAAGGAATATGAGAGTAGGTTTGTAATCAAAATTAAAAAAAAAATGTCCAGTTTGAAATAAAGTTGCACTATGAAATAATTTAATGACATATTTAGTATATTGAAGTTATTTTCACTTATTCAACACATTCCGGGTTCAGTATTCAAGAACATTATGATGATCGAAATTAATAGGGTTATGTAAAAGATCGTATGAGATTGTAAATAATTTTTATATTAAACGTTTATAATATTGTATTTTCTTTCATTTTTGTGTAAATAAAATGTATTAATTTTATTTAACTTTAAAAATTAAGTGTCAATAAATTAAATCTAAGTTTGCTTTCACTGCTATTGTTAGGAAGAAAATCCGACACTGTGCCGGTGTACTGGCGCAACCCTAGCCTTACTAAAGTATCGACGTTCATGTCCCTTCACTAATCATTCTGACTAATATTGTCTAAATGTATAAGAAGTATTATTGTCGATCTATTTAAAAAACTAGAGAAAGCAAAAAAATATTGGTTAATTCGTAATAATTGTAACACATTACAAAAAAATAATTATCGGAGACTAAGACCTACTTTGGACCACGTAGCGAACTCATGTCAACTACAGTGGGCTTCTAAAACCAAAATTCACATTTAAAACATGTTGTCACCATTATTTTGTCAATAATAATGACAGGGATGTAGAGCGTCAGTGGCTCAGGGGTCAAGCACTTGACTTGCAATCTGCAGGTCCTGGGTTCGCATCCCGCCATATACCAATGTGATGCAAACTGCACATTTCTGAGAAGAAATTTAAAGATATGTGTGAAGTCAACCAACCTGCGGGTTGGCGAAGTGCGTTTGGCCAGCGTGGTGGACTATGGCCTAATCATCCTTAACTTAAGGTAGGGTCCGAGCCCCTCGGTGTGGACGTGTAGTGAGCTGATGATGATATATTTTATAAAGAGATTCGGGTCTCAGAAACCCACGTATAGTTAACTAAATCAATCAACACTGAATGAATTGATCGAATAATTTATTGTATAATAATATCAGTTTGTTAAAAATACATTAGTCTTGTCTATGAGATCCCAATTAAGTAAAGGACGAGGCGAGATAATGCCTAATTTAAAATTAATCACCGAAAAAAAGCTGTCCCAATAAATCAGACTGAAAACGCCCCCGCATTCATTGCATTGTTACCTAAAACTGTCGTATCTCTTTCTTTTTATAGTCAAATGAGTGAGATGACAATATTTTTGGTATACAATTACGATGCAGACGAATCGTAACACGTTTGAAACCAGTTTTTACTAAAGCATGTGTTTTGTTTTGGATTTCATTTAATTTATTGGCTTCAAATATTTTGAACAACTTATTATATAGAACTTAAATGTAGAAACATTTTTTGATATATGCAGCAAAAAGTTTTTATGTTAACGTAAATTTACAAATAGTATACGTACTTGAATGTGAAACGCGTCAATAGACTCTGTCCGCGCCGAATTAAAAACTTAAGTAGCCTATGTGTTCTTCCAGACTATGCCAAATTTCATCAAGATCTGTTCTGGAGGTACCTTCTAACATCTATCCATCTAAACTTTCGCATTTTCAATATTTGTAAGACAAAAAAAAACTTGGCAACAAAATTAAAATAATCTTCCTTCCAACAAAACTCCTTGACTATTTTATTACTTTTGAACTTCATCAGTAAACGATTATATAAGTCGTTAAAATTCTTTATTATTCTATCAACAAAAGGCTTAAAAACTTTCCGACTACCATAACAACCAATAAACCTTGCTTTAACGTTACTATAATATCAAACTAATGTACTATGACCCATAACAATTCCCTACAAAAAACGGTTCGGAAGACTGAGGGTACACTTAAAAAACCGTTTACCCTACTACGTAAGGGATGTGGTTATTATATACGTATAAGAGTAAAAGAGAGGAAACATTGAAATATTTAAATTAAGTCCTATCCCTTGATGTTGGGCATTATTTTTTATCTGTACTTCTAAAGATGCGTCGTAAGTTTAGTACTCTCCTGGCCACATTCGTTCTTGCCGAAGGTATAAAAAAGATTTTTGTATAAGTTGTAACAAAATTAGTTACTTTAAAATTTATTTTTACAGAATTTTAAACTAAAATAAAATATATATTTTGGTGCAAAGATATTTAAGTAAAAACCGGACATAATTAACTAAATATTTCAACATAAAACACTAGTTATACATATATATACTTATAATACATAAACTCTTAAATCTATGATATAAAATAAAATTTAAAAAAAAAACCGAATAATTAACTAAAATATGTTACTAAAAGGAGTCCCTTTAGGCAAGGTAGTTTATATCTAAGTTGTCAATTTGACAAGCCGAGTTATGTCACGTTCTTGACATGTCAAAAAAATTGTCAAAATTGTAATTAGCTTCCTGTATTCAGTAATAATTTAAAATAAAACATATCCTTTGATTACGCTGAGGGAATGTGTTCCTTATGTCCTTTCTATAACTACAAATTATGTTTGAATCTCTTTGGTCTGACGTATGGTCTATTCAAAATAGATTTGAAAAAAATTATAACGGACTATAAATATTAGCTACCGATGATGATTTCTTTTCTAACCTCTATGACTAAAAAACTCATTATATTAGGAATCATGTCAATCATCATCAATGGGGATCGTCGGTGGCTCAGTGGTCAAGCACTTGACTTGCAATCTACAGGTCCTGGGTTCGAATCCCGCCATGTATCACACATTGATTTTCGATTTTCGATTTACATACATGTCAACATTTATCCGACGTTCTTAGGGTGAAGGAAAACATCTTGATGAAACCTGCACATATCTGAGAAGAAATTCGGAGATATGTTTGAAGTCAACCAACCTGCACTTGTACAGCGTGGTTGACTATGGCCTAATCACCCTTAACTTAGGGTAGGCTCCGAGCCCCTCGGTGGGGACGTATAGTGAGCTGATGATGATGATAATAATTAGGAATCAACAGTAGGACTTAAAGACCATTTAAAGACTGGAGTGTGGAAGTTATTTGAAAGTTCTTTTTTTATTTTGACCATGTTTATAAAGTTGATAATATAAATTCCTTAAATGGAATGGTAAATAAACCGGGATTAGTCGTCGTGTTAGTTAGGTAAGTAAATTATTTGTTTTGTACCACGATAACGTATACTTGGTAAAATGCTTTGTATTAGGGTTGATGCGTTCATTTTTAAATTGGGTTGGTAATTTATTTCCTTGTAATTAAAAACTTTTTTTTTGTGCGGCATATTTTATTTAACAATTAATGGCATTGATTTAACAAACAAAATAACCTTGCTTTTTACTGTAATATAATTGTTATAAGATAGAAATTAAAAGAAATAAAATTGTTTGAATATTACTAGATAAGGAACAAAAAAAAATCGGGCTGAAATGTTATTTTTTTTTGTAAATTTACTAATATTTCTTTTTACCATTCCAAACTAAGCTCTATGCTTGTGCTAGGATATGGTTTACGACAATAATCGAATAGCGGGATTCAAACCACCGACCTAGTGTTCGGAAATCCGTACCCTTAACCATTAGGCTATTGACGCTTAAACGTGTAAATAAAATAAAGTTAATGTTATAAAGATTTTTTTTAATTTTTAATAATATCCCTAAAACAAAGAAAGAATTAACCGCCTTTTTGTAAATCATTTATCGGCCATTTGTCATACCATAAACAATATCCGCCATTTTAATCGATCCCAAACCATAAACAAAGGGTCGATTTTTACCTGCTTATTACTGATACAAAAGGAGGGGAACAAATTAATGTTTCAAACATATTTCATTGTTAAAGTTCATAATAGATTAACAAGATATAATACCAATTAGCGCTCCTCCGGAATTTCATTTAGTTTCTATAATGTATGGAGACTATGCTGCAGGCAATATCGGAATTCTGACTGTTGTAATTTTACCTAACTTTACTACGAACATTTAACATTTGTTCCTATAGGAAAACAAATGACACTAATTATGTTTAAAAAAACAGTCATTTTTTGTACAGTTCCAAATATTTTTTTTTGTACAAAAAAAAACTAGTGTAGAATCGATTTTACAATAATTCTTATTTTGACGTCATAATAATAAGATAATAAATCAATAAATAGTGAATTTAAATCTAAAAATAGGCTGCCTTGGCTTTCAACTATGTACGAGAATCTCGGGATTTTTAAATTACTAGAAATTATTCACCAAACGTTGACAGGGGAAATATAATCTTTCTGTCGTTCCTTCCTCTGTCTATAGTAGGCTACGCATCTGCGAATTTAGATCACTATTTTGTCGAATTCGTATTGCCGCTTGCACATTTGCCACCATCTTACTATCTTACTAATATTGTAAATGCGAATGTTTAGATCATTCTTTCCCAAGGTGGGCGATAACGCCCTCTTGTGGGCTCTGCAGGTCTCAAGTTGCGGGTTATAGTAAAAGTTTCGTTTAGAATTCTCCGTTAATATACATATATAGGTCACAATAATAATTAATTTAATTTGCAGTTATAGTGGTTTTTAAATATGTGAAAATATGGGGGCGCTAAAAATATTTATTCTCAAATTGGGCAGTAGACAAAATAAGTTTGGGAACCACTGGTGTAGATGGATAGATGGATGGATGTTTGTTTGAAGATATCTCCAGAATAACTGAA